TTTCCTCTATAACTTTGCGGTAACGTAGCTAGTTCTGGAGGTTTATGCCAAACGTAGGAGAATCTGCCATAGAGATTTTTGAGTACAGTTACGTCTTATTAGTGTAGCAACCCACTGCGAGGTTTGAATGTTTCAGATTTACTTAGTTTACTTTACTGTTTCTTTTTGTTATGCCTGAGTAAGGATCGTTATATATGAACTCTGCCGTAGTATTTTTTACGAGTATCTTAGTTGTTAGATTTTTATTAAAGTTATTAATGAGTTATTAAATTGAAGAAATGTAAAAGATTACTGAAATCAATTTTTGTTAGTTTATAGCTAACTTTCTTCTTAAGAATAAATTTTTTTAAGCTTTTATTGACTGAATGTTTTCAAAATATTTGGAGATTGTTAGATCATCTTATGATTATGAATTTTTCTGACATATTTTGTTGAATTTTTACATTGGATCATAAGTGTATGGGTATAATTGGCCCACTATTAGGTATATGATCTGATTTTAAAGGCTTATAGTTTAGTTTAATGATTCGAATAAAATGTTCAGAGCCTTATTTTGAAGTAATTCAATTACTTGAAGTTCCAAAATGGAGAATGGTATAATCTACGGCTTCGCAACTCCATTAACTACCCACCTCTAAACAGTCCTATTTTAATAGCAATTGGTTAGGAAGTTGATATGAATACGGAGTAATACTTTGTAATGCATAGGTAATGGAATACCAATTCAGTGCTGTGGTGCACATGAACCTAATACGATCAAACTAAGCTATCTCATGCGCGCTCGAGCACTGTAGAAAGTGGGCATCACGGAGTTAGCTTACCCAAAACAGTGCTTAGTGCCTTAGCTCTGTACCAACCTCCCGTGTAGTGGAGATATTTGATAGAAAAAACAACAGAAATTTATGTATTCCATGTCAATGGTCCGCTTCATAAAAATCGTGTGGCAACCTAGCTAATTTCGGGAGCCATTCCATACCGGGCATTTTGTCATAGAGCTCACTGAGGATAAACCAAGGCTTATTCGTGTTACGATTCTCTAGAGAGCGTTCAAATTATCTACTGGAACATGGACAAGGAACAGAACCAGAAGATGATCTACTGGAACACGGACAATGAGGAGAGCAACCGAAACGCGGACAACCCTTTTGGTGATGGTGGAGACGGGGCTCGGAGAGGTGAGTTGATAGCTTCAACACGATAGGTGGTGGGTTTGCAGAAGATAGGTAGGTAGGCAGGCAGGCAGGTAGGTGGGCAACCATGTTAGTAGGCGTGAAGCCCCCACTCTAAGTGGAACCCAGGTAAAATCCATCCCTCACCTACGCGTGGTCCTGGGTGGTAACGTCAGCTTCAAAACTGACGGTTAACGAGGGCTCTGGTACGACTACTCTCCATAAATCTCTGCTAAGTGTTGCAATATGTGTACTATTTTTTGAATATCCCTTTTTCTTTTAACCGATTGATTTTCGTATTTTTATTTTTTTGCTGTAGATGATGCAAATAAAAGTGAGAGCAATTTGCTAATAGTACTGAAAGATGGTCATCTCACTCAGAAGGATGTTTTGGCATACTCCTCGATGTACCCTGGTAGCCCTACGTACTATGGTGTAAATGATTATTATTAAAGTCGTCTATAAGATCTAAGGATTTTACTTTTCTAGTGGAGGACTAGTAGCATTCATTTAATGTGGTCATTAATCAATGCCAAGAGGATGAACAGAGAGGTTTAGTTCCGAGAAGTCTGTTGTACTTAGTTCTTTTACAATATTGTGTAAATGATGTCTTGTGGGTTTAATAATAATTAAATTTTGATGAGGTGTTGGCGCATTCCGTATTTTTATTGCAAGGGGACTAGTAGTCCACCATTTCATTAATTCCTAAATATTTTTATGCGGTTATTGCTGCTGTAGTATATTTTCTTTTTCTATCGATCATTGTTTATTATGCCTGTTACACGTCGTTTATACATGAATTTGAATTTCTTTATTTTTCTCTACTATTCTGTATTTTTTGTAGTTTTGTTGATAAATTAATTACATCTCGAGTATTGTAGTGCTTTTTGGATGATCCAGAATTTTGTGTTGGAGACAGCACAATTATTGACTTGGTGATTTCTGGTATATCATCGGTATTTTTGTACCTATTGTAGTAGTATTGGTTAATTTATACTAACTTCTTTTTGATTTTACACTAAAGTTTGGTTTAATTCCTTTAAGTTTATGAGTGTGCCATATTTTGAAAGAAACAATGGTTTTTTGTTTTTTAAAGTAGTATTAAAGTTAGATTTTTCATTTTATTTCAAAACGATTGGTTAAACTATATCTTTAGTGATTGTTTTTTAACTATGCTACGATGCTCTTTTATTTTTTTCTTTTTTATTTGATGTCAAATATTCCTCTTTCACCGTTTCTACTTTTTTAATTCCTTGTTTTTGTTCAGACATAGATTCGAGTTTCTTTGATTTTTCTTGTTATTTTTTTATATGTTATGTACACTATGTTTTATTGCATAAGAAATAACAGTGAAAAACTTGTTAAATTTTGAGCATCTTGTTTTTTCTCCTTTACCCCTGTAGCGGATCGCTACGCTAGTAAAGCCTGACCGACTCAGAAATCTCTATGGCGGATTCTCCTACATCTAGGTAGACTCTCAGAATAAGTTAAGCTATAGCCCAGCTATAAGGGAAACAGACGTGTAGCACGGAATACATTTATTCAGTACGTATATTGATAGCAAATTGTAATTTTGTCAAAACGATTAGTTACCGAACGTGCTATAACGGGTCTCAGTAGCGATGAGCTTCATGGAGAAGAAGGTGAGTGGTTGGGTTTCGCCTCTAACTACCTGTTGCAGAACTGCTCCGACGGCCACTTGAGATGCATCTGTCTTTAACACTATTCGTGTCTTGCTGGAAGTGTCGAGGTGGTTTAGGGTAGTCGCCCTGGAGAGCAGTTGTTTCACTTCTGTGAACGTGGACTCACCCTCCGATGTCACTCTGAAGTGTTTTGGGCTGCCTTTCAGTAGATCCATGAGAGGTTGGAGTACTTGAGCGCAGTTCAAGATGAATCTTCCGTAATAGTTCACAATCCCCAAGAAACGACGGAGACTCTTTACTGATTGGGGCATTGGGTAATCCAGGATGGATTGTGTCTTCTCAGGTAAGGAANTTCGACCATGAATTGTCGCAACCAAACATCCGTTCAACAAGAACGTTGAATACCGATCATTTCATATNGTTTGAATACTTGGCGTAGATGTTGCCTGTGCTCCTCTAGATTGGAGCTGGTGATGAGTACATCATCGATATTAACGTAAACGTAATCTAACCCACGGAAGACTTGGTCCATGAATCTTTGGAAGGATTGGACGGCGTTGCGTAAACCGAAGGGCATGCGTAAATATTCGAACAGGCCGAATGGTGTGATTATAGCCGAACTAGATCGAGCTTGGAGAAAATGACATTTTCATTCAATTGTAATGAAAAGTCGCGAATGTGGGGTATGGGGTACCTGTCTGGCAATGTAATGCGATTGAGTGCCCGGTAGTCCCCACATGGCCTCCAGTCACCGTATTTTGCGACCATATGCAGTGGGGATGCCCATGGGCTGTTTGAAGGTCTAACGATTCCTAAAGTAACCACGTGTTCAAATTCTTGTTTTGCCGCCTGTAGTTTATCAGGGTGTAGGCGTCGGGCTCTAACGAAAACAGGTTGCCCTTTTGTGGTAATATGGTGTTGGACACTAATGCTTGGTCCCTGAAATCTCTGATTGCGAACGAAAGATGAAGGGAAATTCTGATAGAATGTTCGAGTAGCAGTTATCTGCCGGGAAGAGCCCGTTCAACCAACAGATCCTAAGGGCCGTTTCGAGCCGGTCACGCGCGTGGATGTAAGATTGTCCAGTAGAGCGTTGTCTTTGAGATCGACTAATAACTGGAATCTTGATAGGAAATCGGCACCAATAATGGACTGTTGGACGTCCGCAATATAGAAGGTAAACGGGAACTCTCGACAGAGGCCTAGGTCCAGATTAAGGAACTTTTGTCCATAGACCTGTATTTAGGTATTATTAGCTGCGACGAGGAAGGTTCTGGTGGCTGGAGAATAGCGTTGTTTTGTAGACCGTGGAATAACACTGACTTCGGAACCTGTGTCCACCAAAAATGTAAGTTCGGAATTCTTGTCTGTAATGTAAAGCAGGCGATAAGGGTATCTGCCAGGATTAAATTAAATTCCTAGACCACCTCATCAATACGCACGGAATCGCTTCCTTACCTGAGAAGACACAATCCATCCTGGATTACCCAATGCCCCAATCAGTAAAGAGTCTCCGTCGTTTCTTGGGGATTGTGAACTATTACGGAAGATTCATCTTGAACTGCGCTCAAGTACTCCAACCTCTCATGGATCTACTGAAAGGCAGCCCAAAACACTTCAGAGTGACATCGGAGGGTGAGTCCACGTTCACAGAAGTGAAACAACTGCTCTCCAGGGCGACTACCCTAAACCACCTCGACACTTCCAGCAAGACACGAATAGTGTTAAAGACAGATGCATCTCAAGTGGCCGTCGGAGCAGTTCTGCAACAGGTAGTTAGAGGCGAAACCCAACCACTCCCTCTCTATAGAGTTTTGGGTAGAGATGGGATAGGTGTTGGAACTGCTGAGACCGGATTGTTGAAGTTGGAGGCAGTAGGATTGTGGGCATCGTACATGCTTGTGGACCTTGCCGGCTGAGCGAGTGAGGCAGTATTTGGTCCACTGACGAGTGTCCTGTTGGCTGTTCCTCCATATGAAATGATCGGTATTCAACGTTCTTGTTGAACGGATGTTTGGTTGCGACAATTCATGGTCGAAATCTTCCGGCGTGTGCTTGCCTGACGATTGGTCTCGGCTTGCCGGTTGAAATGCAGTTGTGAGTTGGAGTTTCGGAGACCGGTAAGGGTAGGCTTTCGAAGAATAACGTACTCTGGCTGTTGACCGTTTCCAAGGGCGTTCTGTGGGAGTCATAGCCAGTAAAATGAGAGTCGGGGTGCCGTTGAGGTGCTGATCGTTCGTGGGAAGGAACCATCAGATGAGGAGAGCGATATGAAGAAAAATCGCGTCGCCGATGAGAGATGGAGTCTCTGTTGAGCGGAAGTCATGATCTGACTTGTCGTGAAAAACGGCAGCGGACGTAATGTGATAATCATTCGAGCGAAAGAGATCACCGAGGGAATTGAGGGACGAGGAGAGAAAATCCTGATGCCAGTGAGAGATTGGTTCTCTGCTGAGCGATTAAAGTCAGGCTTTGGCAATCACGTCAGGGTCACCAATCTGTAGCGGATTGCTACGCTAGTAAAGCCTGACCGACTCAGAAATCTCTATGGCAGATTCTCCTACATCTAGCTA